TTCCAACTCCTTCAGATTTTGGTTTCCGTTCTTTTGTCTCTCCCCGGGTTAAGACTTGCCTTCGTCCTCGAGTGGCCTAAGAAACGCACGTTTCCGTTTCCACCACTTTCTCCACTTCTATCTTTATCTATCGCTACTCCTGTCTCCCTGTCCTGACAATATAAAAACCCAGTACGCCTACACCTCTGGACAGTTTGTTCCTTTATCGACCATCGCGACGTACTCGCCGCTGCCGCCGGGACAATTAACAAAGTAAACGATTGTATTTTCTGGACAAATTGTACGCCTATACGACCATACACTTTAATAAATTGAGGTGAAAACAGTGTAACGACGTTCCTCACCCACCTCAAAACAAATAAATAAATAAGAAACCCGAGCATCCCATTTCCAGAAACCCATTCTCCAAAATTTCCAACGATAAAACTCTATAAAAACAGTATCCTCTAAACTGACAATCGCACGAATTTCGGATGTTCCAGGTATGGACCAGGGAGCAGTGTCTCCACCAGACTGCCGGCGTGGGTGGAGATATAGGTCCAAGGCCGAGGCGGCCAAAGAGGCCTGGAAGTCGACGAAAAGAGGAGGGCAGGAGTAACAGCGTGGACAGTGGATCTAGCGAGGATCCGGCTGATCCTCGAAGAAGATCCTCGCCCATGGTAATCACCGCCAGTCTCACCATACCGATGTCCGGAGCGTTCACGTTGAACCTCGACGATCCGGACATTCCTTACATCGAGGAAGCGCCTAAACAACCGAGCGCGCCGCCGAGGAGGCAGAGGCAGCGATCGATTTCCGGTTGCAGCGAAGGTATGCCCCCTCTGAATTCTTGTTACAGTATTTAGAGTGTAACATTTGCATTTTCAAATATTTTTTCATATATATTGAGGGAAGAATAAAGTTCGTTGAATTTTTAATAAATGTGAAACGAGGTGAAATTATTTTCAAGGAGTATTTATGTTGGGAATTTAAAGTTGAGGCGTTCTAAATGCTACCTTCGATCGAGGAAACGTAAAGTTTCTTGGATCTTTGGAAATATGAATGAAACGAGGTCGTTTTGAAGTAGTATTCAGATTCTGAGATATTGTTTGTTCAGTCGTACTCCGAGCGTTCCGAAAGCTTCCTTTCTGCAGTTTTCATTTCTCACAAAAGCTTCCTTTTCTCTGTTTTCACCTCTTACGAAAGCGGTTGGAAAGCTTCATTTCTCGGGAATGGGTTTGGAAAGCTTCACTTCTTGCAGGGAAATATGATCCTGCGTTATTTGGGTTAAACAGACAAATACTGCCGTTTATAAGCGTCAGGACACACGTTATGTTTGTATAAAAGGTTTAAATAACATTTCTTCCTCAGATTTAGCAGCACATATTAACAAAAAACGTTGTTTCCTCTTTTCATTACGAGGTTTTAGACTAACTAATATTGTCGCGTCGCGTTCGTCCTTTGATCGTTTCAGACTGTTCGCGTTACGACTTATTACCCGCCAAACTAATCTTGGGTAACTAGTTTAAATCTACCTTGCTCGAACGTTAGCAAAACGTAGAGTGCGTCACGAACGATTGACGACTTTGTGTCTAAGACTCGATTTGGACTTGAAACGGCTGGAGAGATTGTCTTGTTCGCACGAGTGACTGTTTGCGAATTGTCTCTCGAGTCCCGAAGATTTACCGGAGTCGCCGTGACTCCCCCGCCAAGTGCAAGAAGGCACGCTGATTGGTTTTTCACGTACGCACAAATTACCAATCAACGTGCCCCCTGAGTGTCACCCACCCTTCCATTGCGCCCTTAGCGCGCTTTTCCTTGGAAGGAGTGGGGCCCTACCTGCGGGTGCGTGGAATCTTCGCTGTCCTTCGGTGACGCGTCGGAAATTCCCGCCAGGTCAACCCTCGCCGAGAGTGCCGTTATACGCGCGTGTGGATTGACCCTTCAGGAATACCTGGTTTATGACACGTCTTCGGTTATTGAGGACGCGGATAAGTCGAAATTCTAAAGGCATTGTTCTCTAAGAAATTACTTATTTTTTCGCGGAGCTACGAAGCGTCTTTGTTCTCAAAAATAACCTTCTTGTGCGAGCGTGCCATAAACCCGGTCAACGAAGACCCCATGCGTTCCGTACCTGCGCGACGGAACAAATATCGTTTAGGATCTCAATAATTTTCTAACGAGTATTCAACTTTTCTTCAAAGTCAATAAGTGTCCTAATACTTACAAAGGAGTCACTCAGAAGTCAAAGTGATTAACTCCATCAAATAAAATTTATTAAATTTTTCTTATTTATGAAGAATTTGTGGAATTGGTTTAATAATATGTTGCGAGTGATGGCGTGAATGTAGTGTGTTTGTCGAATCGTCTCGAGATTTGGAAAACGAGCGGATGTTTGGAAAACGAGCGTAAAACAGTAGAACCGCGTTGTTATTGATATCAGAGAGTGCGTGAGAATATTTGCGAGATATAATAAGAAACCGTTGATCAGCTTATCATTATTCCTTTTTACGTGTGTTTATAGTTATTATCAAATTATTCTTATCAAATATATCGCTATTGAACTTATTATCACGTGTTATACAACCACAGAATTAAACTAAAATTGGAAAAGTTTTCTAAAGTGAGATTAACCATATTGCCTTCTAAGTGTCTCAGAAAAGAATATACACGCTCTCAAAACGTAACTTAATTCCCAATCTCTAATCATTCAATCTCCCTTTCTGTTGTCATTTCCAAGCTTCCAAAAATACAGTTCAAAAATCCATCAAATTAACTTCATTAAATTTTCCTGCCTTACAAAGACTCGAGCACCAAACATATACCTCGACACTAAAATCGCAAAAATTTCAAAAAGTGGAGTTAACCATGTTACCTTCCGAGTATCTCAAAAAAAAAAAAAAAAAAATGTATATATGCTCTCAAAAGTAATCTCTTATCTTTCAATCTCCCTCTCTGTTATCATTTCCAAGCTAGCAAAAGTAACCTTAAAAAACCGAAGATTGCATCTGCATAATCCCTTTAATCCCTAGGTGGAAGGCACGGAAGCGACAGCGCCGTGGGCTCTTCCGCCACGTTGTCCGGCGATCAAGCGCCAAGTTCACCTCCGTCGTGGGCGTCCTCGCCACCTGCCAGCCCGGACAGCGCGGTCACCGCTGTTTCGTACATCCCCGACCAACAAGCCGTTCTTCAGAGGGTGTCGTTCACCACCTCGAGCGAGGTACGCCAAGTGACCAGGTCGAGTAGCAGCCAAGAGACGTCGAGGAGCACAGCGGCACCGTACACGCCGAGCATCACGAGCATCGGTGGTGCGGTTTTGAGGTGAGAATCCTGTTCCTCTCAGCTATGCCGGTTGTTTCCGTGTACCCGCCCGACAGCAATTGCCCGGATGATCATGATTCGTGCTACTGTTCTGGTATTCGCGCGGAACATCTGGGACAGTTCGTTCACCCCCTTCGTCGATGTAGTGCAACGCACCAATGTCGTACATTCACCTTCGTATTTCGATATTAGGTCTGTGTTAGAGGATTTTTCCTCTTTTCTTCCTGTGTGAGCAGCCTTTTTTCAGTTATTATCTGTAGTTACAGTGACGGTGTTGGATTTTTTCTTTTTGATATTTGTTTTACAGATTTTTCTTATTTCTGTATCTTGGAGCTAGACTGTAAATTAGTTTCATTTTTTTTTTGTTTTTTAATTGAGTTGTACAGGGTGTTACCTGTAACGCGACGCACGATTTTTCACCACTTGCAGCCATCTGACAAGAAAAAGGTTGGAACAAGAGTTGCAGGGTGTGGAGTGTACAATAGATATTGGTAAAAGAAATTTCGAAAACAGTTTGTTTTCATGACGAAATCAAGACT